ACCACCCACCACACCCAGTGCCCCTGCTCCCAGGTGCTCCCCGAGGCCAGGCCGGCTCTTAGCAAGGGCGGAAGCCCAGATGAATCACTTCCCCAAGCCCACACGTCCCCAGCCCTCAACCCTGTGTGGTGAAGGCAGGGGCGGCCCAGGGGGCGCTCCCGAACTTCTCTCTGAGACCCATGGTCCCACCCTCGCCTCCCCAGCCACCAGCACCCCCACAGCGCAGCGCCCCCAGTGGGCAGAGGCCTCCTCTCCGGCTCACACAGCAGCCTGCGGCCACTCCAGACACTGGACAGTCTGGTCCCAGCGGCCCTCTCCCCGGAAGAAGCCAGCCTGCAGGTGCGGGGACAGTCACTGCTCGGGGCTGCCCTGCCCTGGGGCCTCACTCACACCCAGGAAAATCACATGAGGCCTCGGGGCCAAATAACAGAGGCGCGTGATAACAAGGTGTCTGTGGCTGCCTCCTCCAGGAAGGACGCAAGACTGAGCGAGATCCCGGGCAACCCCTCCCCCAAGATACGGCTCCCCCCTTCTTGTAGGGCTGCCCGAGTGTTGGTTATCTCAGGAAGACGCATGCTTCAGGGTCGGGTCCTCGACGTCTGGCAGCGGGGGGCATGACTGGCCCTAAGGGGCAGGTGTGGGGGCCAACTTCGGCAACCACCGAGGCGCGGCGGGGTCAGTGCTGTGCCCAGGCCCACGCAGATCACCAGGGCAGGTGCCCGCCGGCATGGCCAGGCTAATTGCTGGGCAATTAATTACTTCCAGCCTCTTGACAAGCCAGACTCGCTGCAGCGAAGGGGGTGGCGGAAAGGACGCCTGGAAGTCGGGGCGGGCCGACTTCCGCCACTCCTGCCGCCGGCAGAACCAGGGCGCCCTGGTCTCCTCGCGCCGCGCGGGGTGCTCTCTGCCGGGCGGCCGCTCTGCGACCCCGCCCGTTGGTCTGGGATCGGCTGAGGCCTGGTCCGGGCAAAGCGTCGGGACGGCCAGGAGGTGCGCGCGGGCCTGCGTCTGTCGCCCCCCGGTGGCCACGGGGGTTGGCGCGGGCGGACAGCGCGTTCCGTGGCCCGGCCTCTCCCGCAGCTCCCACGGGCGCAGACGCTATTTCTGGCGAGGCACGTGCCGCTTTTCAGGCCCAAGTCAGACGCGCAAGGCAAGAGCCTTCACCCCTGCACCGTCTCAGGCCCCCACCCTGCAGCCACAGACCGAACCCTCGGAAGGCCTGGCCCACAGCTCCCCGGGTGACGGCCTGACGTGGGCGTGTCCCTGCGCGTTCCCGACACGAATCCAGCCAGGGAGGCCAGGCCGGGGAGCCTGCACGTGCCGTGCCGAAGGGCAGTGCCAGCTGCAGGCTTGGGCTGGCAGCGCTCCTGCGCCGCCACTCGATGCCAAGCGGGGCTCCCTGTCTGCAGCTGCTGGGCGTCAGCCCCCAGCCCCAAGCCTCGGCGCCCACCATCCGTGTGCCTGTGCTCTCACACGCGCTCAGTCTCTCATTCGCGCTCAGTCTCTTTCACGTGGGCTCGGTCTCTCTCACAGTGCTCAGTGAGTCTCATCCGCACTCAGTCTCTCCCACACAGCTCAGTCTCTCACACGGGCTCGCTCTTACGTGCTTGCTCTCACAGTGCTCACTAGCTCTCACATGTGCTCCCACACATGTGCTCCCTCTATCCCACGTGCTCTCTCATGTGCTCTCTCTGTTACATGTGCTCGCGCTCACATGTGCTCGCTCTTTCACTCTCGCATGTGCTCTCACATGCTCTCTCTCACACATGCTGTCTCACACATGCTCGCTCTCTCACTCTCACATGCTCTCACACACGCTTGCTCTCTCACTTGCTCTCTCACGTGCTCTCTCACACACGTGCTCACTCTCACACATGCTTGCCCTTACACGTGCTCTCACACAAGTGCTCTCTCTCGCATGTGCTCTTTGGCACGTGCTGGCTCTCTCACTCTCACAGTGCTCTCTCTCATGTACGCTCTCTCACACGTGCTCACTCTCTTGCTCTCTCACATGTGGTCTCACAGTGCTCTCCTACACAGTGCTCTCTCACAATGCTCTCCTATGCTCTCTCTCTCGTGCTCACTCCCACATGTGCTCGCTCTCGCTCTCACAGGTGCTTGCTGTCTCGCTCTCTCAGACGTGCTTGCTCTCCCTCACATGCTTGCTCTCGCTTTTTCACTCTCTTGCTCTCATACATGCGTGTTTTCTCACTCATCGCGCTTGCTTCCTCACAGTGCTCATTCTCTTGCTCTCTCACGCGTGCTCGCTCTCTCGCTCTCTCGCATACGTTGCGTTTGGGCAATTAGCCAACTGCATCTTCCAGTTGGTGTCCTGACTCTAAGTGCGTCCCTGACATTCTCTGTGCCTGTTGTGGGGTCCCAGCGGTGTCTTCCCCTCAGGGACGCGAGGCTTGAGCCAGGGGGCCGGCCTGAGTGCGCCCTGCCCCGCGTGCGGCTGAGCGGCTTCCATCAGCATATAGGACTATATGGGATATGTGTTGGGGCAACTCTCGGCAGTGCTCGGGAATCACTCTTGGTAGGCCTGGGGACTGGGTGGGGTGCTGCGTGGAAGGCTGGTGCCCTCCCCGCTGTCTCCCTCGGCCCCAACCCCAACGTATTTAAGGTTTTGAGTCCCTGAGGATTTTCAGCCCTTCCTGCATCTTGGAGACCGTGTGGGAGAGGGGAGGTGGCTCAGGTTGAGGGGGGATGGGGAGTGAGTGGCAACGGTGTTGGGGGGAAGGTGGAGGAGGGGTCTGGAAGTTTCCTTCCACACTCTGCTCTCCCCTCTCTAGCCCCCAGGTCCCAGAGGAACACAACTATGCCCACTGCACCCCGACTTCAGGGGGCGGGGGGGGGGGTGCAGAGCTGGGGTGCGGGCAAACCGCGAGGCTGGAAGGCTGGAGAAGGGGGGGGGCACGGGGGGGGGGACGGCGGCGCCCGACCCGCGCCCTGCCCAGCCCGGCCGCTAGAGGGCGGCGTTGGGCCGCCCAGGACCCCCTTCGCCCCTCGCCCCGCAGGACTTGCGCAGGGGGAAACTGAGGCCGCCCGAGCCCGCCGGGGAGCGGCTCGGGGTTCCCGCCTGTGACGTCAGCCCCGCGCCCCAAATAACTTCCCGAACCGCTTCCTGGGCACAGGCAGGGGGACCCGACGGCCACCCCTCCGGGGACCCTTGGTCTTCCGCCCGCGGGGCGCGGTGGGTCCCGGCAGCAGGTCCGGGGGAGGCCCGGAGAGGCCGAGAGAAGCGGTCCCAGGGGGCCGGGGGGGGGGGGTCGGAGGAGCAGAGGCCGGCCGCGGGGTCAGTGGGTTCGGGGCCGGGTCACCGCAGCCCGCGGAGCCTCTTTCCTGCTCAGCGGCCGGCCGGGCGGGCGGAGCACCGGGCCGACGGGTCCAGCGGCATAGCAGGGCGGACAGGGCAGCATAAAAGCCGCTCGTGCCCGCCCGCCCTCGCCCGGCCAGCCGCTGTCCAAGCCATGAGGCTGCTCCTGGCCCTGCTCCTGCTGCTGCTGCCCGGTGGTGAGTGGGGGGGTCTTCGGGGAGGGGGCTGGGGGTTTCCGGGTGCGGGACAGCCGCTCCCCACCGGGTGCCCCTGGGCGGCTCAAAGGGGAAGGACCTAGATGGTGGGCGCAGGCCAGAGAGGGAGGCATCACCTGGGGGGTGCTGTCCCCACCCCTGCCCTGGGCCCCCGAGTGCAGCTCTGGGCCAGATTCTGCGTCCAGTCCCCAGACAGAGGCCTGCCGGGCCCCAGCAAGGGCGGGAGGATGTCCAGGGCCCCCTGGGGCTCAGCGGAGAGTGGGGGCTGGACCGGGCCGGGCTCTTCTGCCACCAGTGAGGGACAGTGGGGGCAGCGGCCCGGGGCAGGGTCAGCAGGGCCAGGCCCGGAGGTGGCGGTGCCTGGAAACTCCCGCATTCCTGGGCCCGCTGGGCCAGCCTGGCCACCTCACCCCACTGTCCTGATGTCACCTCCCAGGGCAGGCCCGGCCATCGGGGCCCCAGGCCTTACTCCCAGGAGGAGGACACCCACGGCGCCTCCTGCTTCTGCCGTGTCACGTCACTGCCCCAGCAGTCTGGTCCGGGTGGGGACAGTAGCTGGGACCCTCCACACTGCCCACCCCCGTCCCAGCCTGTGCTCAGTCCTGAGCCAGGATGAAAGGCCAACACCTCTTAACCTCCCCTCTCCCACATACCCTAGCCCCCAGTGCCCAGGCTCCATCCACTCCCTCCTGGTCAGTCTGCTACCAACTGTGCTCCTGCTGGCCCCTCTGCCTGTTCCCTGGCCCACACCTGAGGCAGTGCTCTGTGAAGCCTGGTGGGAGATGGCGTGAACTCAGGAGAGGGACAGTGCAAGCAGGGAGAGCTGCATGGAGGAAGTGGCACTTCCACTGGGCCTTCATGTTGGGCTTGTACTGAGGGTGGAAAGGGCTTCCAGGTGGAGGGAGTTGTGTGTGGGAGGACTAGGCCGATCCTGGGAGAGGGTGGCTCAGGGGAAAGCCAGGATGAAGTTCTAGAAGATTGCCCACGGGGAGCAAAGTAACTCGGGACATGCTGTGGGAGCTCAGGCCTCCAAGTCGGTGTGAGTGGCTGGGCTGGCGGCACCTCAGGGACACAGAGACAGCAGCTTTCCAGGGCACAGGCTCCCACACCCCGCCAGCGCCCCTGCCCACTCACCCCACACTCCTGCCCCCACCAGCATTTCCAGGTGGGACCCCAGGAAGGAGCTGGTGTGGGCGGCACACGGCTGAACAGGGGGTCCCATTAATGGTCAAGGAGGAGTGGGGCGTTGCTAGGTCCTGGGGTGCGGCACCCAAGAATCTCTGGGGAACCTTGGGCTCCAGCGGTAGGTGGGCACTTGCAGGGCACCTGTGACTTTGGGGTGTCGGTCCTTGATGGCCCTCTCATCCCCCGCCCTGTCCGGAGCTGGGATCTGCAGGGTGGCCCCGGCCTTGGGGCAGGGCGCTCAGGAGCAGAAAGCAGGTCACTGACACCCCCTTTCTCATTTCCAGACACTCTGGGGGCCAATGCATCAAGAGGTAAGACCCGACCCAGGGTCGAGATAGTCTCGCCACCCCACGGCATCCCCTGAGCAGGGCCAGGAGGGCCCTGAGCACTGCTGGGTGTGACCCAGAAACCAGGGAGGGAGAGAGACAGAGAGGGGGAGGGGGAGGGGCTGGTGGGAGGGAGGGGGAGGGGAGGGGGAGGGAGGGGGGAGAAAGAGAGAGAGGGAGATCCCAGACACTGGATGAGGGGCGGCTTCACTGATAAGATACCACTCCCCCACACCACACCACACACCATACCATACACACACACCACACACTACACACACACCATACACACACACCACACACCACACATATCACATACACACCACAACCCCACACCCTACACACACTACACAAACTCCACACCCACCACACACACATTACCCCCCCACACACACACCACATAGACATCATGCACACAGCCCCCGAACACACACACACACACACTTGGGATGAGAAGTTAGGGGGACATGGGTGCCCGGAAGCAGAACATAGACAGGAGGGCCAGGAGGCTGCTGAGGCAGGGGGAGGAGGCAGCAGGGACCCACCCAGAGGCTTGAGGCCATTTTCTGTACCTGAGTGCCAGGCCCTGGCCAGCAGCTGCCCCACCAGGGGACGTGGAGGTGGCTGGCGTCACTGATGCCGGGTCCCTGGTGGTGCCCGCGCTGGTGGACGGCAGGGACACCCCCTGAGCCAGTGCCATCCTTACAGTGTGCGGGCGCCCCCGGCAGCTGGCCCGCATGGTGGGCGGGCAAGATGCCCTGGAGGGCGAGTGGCCCTGGCAGGTCAGCGTCCAGCGCAACGGGAGCCACGTGTGTGGCGGCAGCCTGGTGACGGAGCGCTGGGTCCTCACGGCCGCGCACTGCTTCCCCAAGTAAGCCCCGGTTCTGGGAGTGGGCGGGACCTGGGCAGTGCCACCGAGGGCCATGGTGAGCATTGGGCTCTGCTCACCTCACCCCTCTCCCGCAGTGCCTCCGAGACAGCCCTGTACCGGGTCCTGCTAGGGGCACGGCAGCTGGTGCGGCCCGGCCCGCATGCCGTGTCGCTGGGGGTGCGCCAGGTACAGAGCCACCCCCTGTACCAGGGCATGGCCTCCAGCGCCGACGTGGCACTGGTCCAGTTGGAGACTCCCGTCACCTTCACCCGCCACATCCTCCCGGTGTGTCTGCCTCAGCCGTCGGTGGTCTTCGGCGTGGGCATGAGCTGCTGGGTCACTGGCTGGGGCAGTCCCAGTGAGCAAGGTACTAGGCACGTGGGGCTGGGGAGTCCCCAAGGAGGGGACAGGGGAGGGGAGGGACTGAGCCCCGGCCCTTCTCCCTCTCTCCCTCCCGCCCACCCCCTCCCCACCAGACCGGCTGCCCGCCCCGAGGGTCCTGCAGAAGCTGGCAGTTCCCCTCATCGATGCGCACAGCTGCAACGAGCTCTACAGCAGGGACGCACAGGCCGGCTTCCAGCCCAGAACCATCCAGAAGGACATGCTATGCGCGGGCTTCGCCGAGGGCAAGAAGGACGCCTGCAAGGTGGGAAGCAGGCGGGGCCAGGAGGGCGGAGGGGCCAGGTCACGGGCAAGGCACACCCACTGGGATGAGGCCACCCTAGGGGCTTAGGGGCTCTGCACCCCTGAACATGCCGATGTCTGCTGGGAGGGGGGAACAGGCTGCTGGAGGGGTGTCTGTGCGTGCACCACTGACACTGGAACTCCTGCAGGGTGACTCTGGGGGGCCCCTGGTCTGCCTCGTGGGCCAGACGTGGCTGCAGGCTGGGGTGATCAGCTGGGGAGAGGGATGCGCCCGTCGGAACCGCCCCGGCGTCTACATCCGGGTCACCTCCCACCACGACTGGATCCACCGCATCATCCCCGAACTGCAGTTCCAGCCGGCGAGGTCAGGGGGCTGGAAGCGCGGCCCCCTAGACCAGCAGAGCCCCCGCGCGGCCGCCGCCTGCTGCCCGGTGCCCTGGGCTGCCTCCCTGCTCCTCACTGCCCTGGCCTTGCTCTAAGTTCGGCCAGGCACGTTTGTAAATAGCCCCTCTTGCAAACACCCCGTTATTTTTATTTATGTTCGTTCCAATAAAGGTCTCACCGCAGTGCCGGCTGCCGGACACCCACGCCAGGGGAGGTCGGGGCTGCAGGGCTCAGGTGCCCCAAGCCCGGACTTGCGGTCCTCTCCAGCTCTTGCTGTCCCCATCCCTGAATCCTGAGGTCACTTGGCGCAGCTGCAAACCAGGACAGGGGGCGCTGTGGGGGCCGGGGGGCTGAATTGAGTTGACCCCACAGCTGCCAATACCCAAGGGTGGGCTGTCCCGACCCCTCCCCTCCCCTTCCCAGCTTTGACCTTCGCGGGGGTGTGAGACCCGGCTAGGGGAGGGGGGACACATCCTCTGAGCCGATCCCCCCCCGCCCATGTCCCTTTTGGTGTTCAGGGCTTGCCCCTGGCTCTGCACTCAGGAATGTGGGGCTAGGGGGCCATACAGGATGCATGTGCGAGGCTTTCCCTGCTGTGCTCTCTCCAGCCCTGCTGCCCCTTCTGAGGGCTCTATTGGCAGGGTATGGCACTTAGCACCCAGGGGCTGGACCTCCCTGAACCTTGGTGGTGGTCACATTCCCCCGCCCCACAGGCCAGTGCAAGCCTGGGGACTCCCTGGGCACAGCTCGGGGCTCTGCCAGCAGTCAATGCTCAAGGCTCACAAGGCCCATCTCTGCCCCTGCCCCTCAGGCCCTGACCCCGCTGGCTGGCTGGCTCCAAGGCCAGGACAGCTCTGTCCTCTGGCCAGCACTGCCAAGCTGGTTGCCATGGGCTGCTGGGCTGGGCTCTCACAGTGGTGGCAGGACACTGGAGGCAGGGCCAGCCCGGGGCCACCGGAGCACGCTCAGCTGCATCAGCTGGGCTGGCATGGCCACAGCTGCACCCGCAGCCGCACACACAGCCACAGCCACACAGCCACACCCATACAGTCACACCTGCACTCACTCACACAGCCGCACCCGCACACACAGTCAGACACACCTGCACCCACACCCGTGCACACAGCAATAGCCACAACTACCCAGCTGCACCTACACAGCCACACCTGCACTCACAGTTGCATAGCCCAACCCCTAAGCGCAGGCGTAAACCCTCTTGTGCAGGCCACACACCCGCCCTTACAGCCTGCATGTGTGAGTGGCTGGTAATGACACTTGGTGAGACCTGCTGGAGGTGGCCCTTGGGAGAGTGACTCCATGGGGTCCTCTCAGGCGGCACGTCTGGGCATGCCCCCAGGAGGGGGGCAGGGAGGATGGGCAGATGGCAGGGGGCCTGAGGGAATTTTGGGCTGGGAGTGCCCTGGCCAGGAAGGGAACAATTCTGGTCACCCCAAGAGGCCGGGTGGAGCCCAGCCCTACCGAGGGCCAATGGCTGGGCTGGACAGAGGTGCAGGGCAGCGGCTGGGAGGGAAGCACAGCTGTGTGTAGCTCCCCGAACACTGCTGGGTGGGGCCCCCCAAACAAAACACAACAGGTGCCAGAGGGAGTCTGAGGGGGTGCGCCTAGGCAGTCCGGGTGCAGCAGACACAGGACAGAGGGAAGGCCCCTGGCCAGTGACCCCCCAGAGGTTCCCAGAGACCCGCTAGGGTGGCTGGCCTTCATGAGTACACACACAGCTTCTCCTAGCAGGCGGGGACTGCCCACTCTGCCAGGCTGGCCACTCTGGAAACAAGTGATGCTCCAAGCCAGGGCCAGAGCTGCTGGGGGTGTCCTCAGAGTGGCCACCAGGGGGCGCCCAGGAACTGCCAAGCTCAGTGCTGTCCTGTCCTGGGCACTGTGTCCCAGGAGACCCAGAGACAGCAGAGACAGGGACGTGCCGCCTCTCACCCACAGGGGCTTGGGGGACTCCCAGGCAGGGGTGGAGGGGGGCCAACGCACACCCAAGACACAGCTGTTCTGTTGATTCATAAATACACAATTTTATTTGCTATTTTCAGGGGAAACTTAGGCATTAAACTGTAAGCTGATAAAATACGGATACCTAAAAAAGTATAAAAGTATAAATATCCCCTTGGAGTAGATCTTAGTGAATTAAGTTTTAATATCTTTAAATTAAAAAAAAAAACAACCACAAGCCTATCTATTTTGTCAGGTTGCCAACAACAGCCTCGGAGGCCAGCAGTGCCCACGGCCCCAGGGCCGCCTTTGGCGGGGGTGCGGGGTAATGTGCCCCCCGAGAAGCTTCCGAAACCGGGGCCCAAGGCTTAACAGCAGCTGCCACCTCCCAGGAGGCAGAGCGAGTCCTGGTCGGGTTACTGGCAGAGGCAGAAGTCTCTGGAAGGTGGGGGTCATGACAGGCGGCTGCGGGTCTGCGTATGGAGAACCCCAGGGAGCGGGGCTTCGCCGGTCAGTGGGTAGCCCCGCGCCCAGAGAGGAGTGCATAGCTACAGGGCGCTGAGGGGACCCCCGGCCCCCGAGCAAGGCACAGGTGCTGGCCCCCCGCGGGCAGACCCGGCCCCCCACGCAGCAACACTTGCAGGAGACGGGAGAGGGACGGGGGTCTCTCAACCGGGAGAGACGAGCCGAGATGACGGGCCTCCCGCAGCAGCCCGACCAGAGCAGAGCAGGCCTGGCCAGCGTCGCTTTGCCATGGACTGTGGATGTAGCACCAAGAACGCTGTCCGGGGCGACCTTTGGGGGTCAAGGTCTGTCAGCCTGTGGCCAGCCGCGGCTCCCCACTCCAGCCGAGTGCGCGTGGTTTCCCAGGGCCCACCGGGCATGGTGGCTCTGAATCTCAGGAAGAGGCGAACGTCGTCCGCCACGGCCGCGGCCTCACATCCTTGAGCCCCGCTCCTGCAGGATCTGCCGACATCGGGGCTGAGACCGGGCTGGCAGGGGCAGCAGAGCCCCCCGCCGCCGGGACAGGGGCCCCAGGTCCCCGCAACGGGCACATGGCTACTCAGGACCCTGCGGAGGAGACACCCTCAGGCTGGCCCCCAGAGCCCCTGGCACCCACCTTGGCCTTCTCGCTGGGCTCGCTGGGGGCGCCATAGGGGGCGTTGTGCAGCTCCTTGGAGACCACGCACAGGAACTCGGCCTGGTCCTCACTGCCGTAGTTGTAGGAGGAGCCAATGCTGACCAGCTGCAGGGCAGAGACCCTCTCAGAGGCTGTGGCCACGCCCGCCCTCCCCGCCCAGGGGAAGCCCAGAGAGGCCTCAGGCCACGCACCTGCTCAAACCTCCAGCCATCAGACATGGTGGACACCATCTGAGTGAGCTCCTCCTCCTGGCACTGCAGCACGCGGTACACGTGCTTGGCCGGCACCTGGGGCAGCACCAGGAGAGACAGACGCTATGGTCCAAAGCCCCCAAGCCCTCAGGGCTTGCAACAAAGATGCCCAAGATGTGTGCCCACGTCTCCAGGGCTGCTGCTACAGTATGGTCTGGTCCCCAGAAGCTGCAGGGGGATCTGTGTTGCAATGCCTGCCACGCTGCATGCTGGCATAGCCAGGGACGCAGGTACGAGTAAACGCTTTGGGCGTGTGGGCTGGGCTGCTGGGTCAGTGTGTCCTGCTCTCACCTGTGTCGTTTTGCTCTCCCGCTCTCTAATCTTGTCCTTTACGAGTTTGATGAGTGAGGTAATGTTGTAAAACTCTGCTTCCTCCAACACCCCTACAGCAGAGAGGAAGAGTGAGCGGCACCGGCACCAGCACCAGCACCAGCACCAGCACCAAGCAAAGCCCAGATCGGGCCTCACAAGGCAGGACTGCAGCAGTGGGTGCTGCTCGCCACCGTCCTGCCCCCCTGCCCCAGCCTGTCATGCAGACACAACGATGTGGGGAGTGACACCGCCAGGCAGGCCTATGGGCAAACAAGGCTGTGGGCGTCCCTGTGGTATTCTGGAAAATTCCAGGAGAGCTTCCTGCAGCTCTGTCCGGACCCCTGGGGCCCGTACCAAGGGAGCCAGCTGAGGCGGGCACGGGGAACAGCGGACCAGCCTGGGCTTGCCCGGGCAACGCGCACAGCTGAGCCGATGGGGCAGGCGGTCGCGACTCACCTTCCTCGGCCAGGTCCTTGTTGATGACCAGCTTGCCGTGCCGCAGGTAGTTGAGCACGGGCCCGAAGTACGTGGGGTCTCTGTCGATCAGGTAGGCGCCTGTCTCGTCCTGCGGGGCACAGCAGAGCAGCCATGAGCGCACGGGGGCCGGGGCGCCAGGGCCTGCCCCAGCCTGGGGGTTTCTGGGCCAAGCAGTCAGAAAGACACCAGGAACTGGTGAGGGACCGAGGGCCCGGGAACAGGAAGCGAGAGGCGGCCGTACCGGGCCATGCTGGGCTCGAGGGCTCAGGAACCCGAAGCCTATCTGTTGTCTGGGCGGTCCCTGGCACTCCTGCCCCGTCCCCACACGGGACAGGAGACTGTACCGTCACTACTCCACTCCACCTCAGCACACTACCAAGAAGCAAAGGTCAAAGGGCGGCCCCACCCACTCCCAAGACACAGGCAGAACAGGGCCACCTGGCCTAGGGTCACACCCAGTGCTGTGCTGGGTTACACCCGTGTCTGGGACCCTGTTTTCTTCACCAAGCACCTGCTCTCAGCAGGCCCGGAGCATATTGGTGCTCCATCAAACACCGTTTGCAAACAGTCGGGACTGTGGTACCTCTACAGAGGGTCAGGGGCACAGGCCTGTCCTTGAGGGACGCACCCCAGAATCTGCCGCAGCCCCCGTGACAACCCAGGGCCTGGGCGCTGGGACGTGGCTCAGGGCTTGAGTCCCGGCTCTATCCCCAGGGGCCGCGAACCACCTCCTCCTGGGGTCGACTCGGACTAGGGAACTGCAGGCCGTGCTCAATTCGGGCTGGGCCTCAGTCTGTGGCCACAGTATCACCAGCTGTGGGTGACCCTACATCAAACCCGAACACTGACACCCACTACCAAAGCCTGTCTGCCCAGTGATGCCTGGGGTTGAGCCAGTGTCCAGGCCACCCTTGAGGTGTGCGCTCTGCTGCCCACAGGGGAACACTGGCCTCTGACCTTTTACCTGTGGCAGGTACAGGCCAGGAAACCGAGGCAGCTGCCTCGTGGGCAGCAGCTGGGCGAGGTCACCCGTCAGCACCCCAGGTGAGCCTCTGGCATGACTGGCCCGGAAGCTCCTCTGCGGGCGCTGCGTCTGTGGGTGAATGAAGCTCACCTGACCCACTGGGGCTCGCAGGCTCAGGGCTCTGGGGATGGGGCTGCGGGTCACTCTGGGGTGGTGACAGTGAGGGGCAGGTGGCCGGCCCAACCTCCACTTTCCCAGGTCACAGGAAGCTTGTAGGCAAGAGACCTGCCATGTGTTGGCTCCCAGTGTCCTCCTGACGCCCCAGTGACCAAGAGCTGCGGAGAGATGCCGCCTGGCCTCCCTGGTCTCCGTAGTGCCCGGGCAGCTCAGGAGACCAGGTGGGCTGTCTCCACGGTTCCCTACCCTGCTGCCTTCGAGAAAGCAGCCCCAGGCCACCCTGAGACACCCAAGCCCTGCCCCGAGCCTCCGCTCCAGGGCCAGCAGTAGCCGGGCAGTACCTGGGCCCTGGAAACCCCCTAGAAAAGCCACCCAAGGGCAGCAGGAGCAGCCAGCCACGCCCGATCGGAGTCCAGCTAGGTCACCAGGAAAGGCCGCAGGCCCAGGGGCCCACGCTGGCGGGAATGTCCATGCCCGGCCCGCACCCGGCAGCCAGCACGGGCACCGGCAGGGCCAGGGGAGGTCTGAGGCCCTGATGCCCGCGGACCTTCCTGGCCGACGGCGCCATGCAGGGGTGTAGCGACCCCCGCCCCCCCCCCACGCGACGAGACTGCGCCGCCGGGCGGGGGGTGCAGGCGGGGTGACCTCTGCCCCCGCTAGTTTCACCCCACCAGGTGGGGCCCCGCCCAGTCCGGCCAGGTGAGCTGCCGGGCCTCTCACCTGTGAATCAGCATCCTGTGCCCCTGCGGGCGCCCTGCCCTCGCCCGCCGCCTCCCATCCGGGAAGGGCTTTCGGGGAGTCGGGAGCCCCAGTGGCGCTGGGCAGGCGGCGGCTCCGCAGTCGCGCGCCGCAGGCGCGGGCCCACGCGGGGACAAAGGCCGGTCCCGTCCGCGGGCGGCGGAGCCGAGGCGCGGGGCGCGGGGCCCTACCCGCCCGGCCCGACCCCCGCCCGCCCGCCTCACCTTGTCCGAGTCCAGGTCGGGGTCGGCCTGGCATAAGCGGTAGAGGAAGGAGCGGGGGTCCCGGCACAGCGTCTGCCGGGTGGTGAGGAAGTAGGTGCCGCCCACGTTGAGCCGGACCCACTTGGCCGCGCCGACGCCCGCGCTGCAGCGGCGGCACAGGCCGCCCCCCGGCCCCGCCCCGAGCCCGCCGGGCGCCGGCGGCAGCGCCTCGCACGGCTTCTCGGCCGCCATGCTCCCAGCAGGCCCCGCACCGCGCGCGCCGCCGGAAGCGTCCGCCGCTTAAGAGGCTCCCCGCGCCGGCCCCGCCCCCGGAAGCTCCGGCCCCGAAAGGCGGCCGGCCGGACCTCCTTCCGGTCGGGACGGGGCGCCGCGCGGGCCAAACCGCAGGCGCGCGGCCGGAGGGGCGCCCGCAGACCCGGCCCGGCCCGGCCCGGGAAGAAGCACGCCGGAACGGCTACACGCTACATGCTTTTTATTACAAGACTACCGAGCATACGTGGAAAATTCATTCGGTAACTACGTCTAGGGCACAAATATTTGAGGAAAAAAGCATAAACATATTCATTAAATTATGACTAAATCATTGACCAATAGAAAATTTATATAATAAAGCCAGGAAAATGTTGTAAAATATAGTTTACAATAATTATTCACATTCAAGGCTGTACATCAATACATACAACAGCGTGGCCCCGAACATGAATTCCATTCAAATAATTCATATATTAGATTTTAAATAACACAGACTGAACTAGAGGCCAACCAGAGTCAGCAAATAACCTTATAGAAGAATAAAAATACAAAAGTGTGTGTCCTAATATCATTGCATTATTCTTTTCCATACGGTTTGAAGCTCCCATTGCCTGTACATCACAGTCACTGCACAGACCAGGTAGAGATTATTACACGTTCTCACCGACTGCTGCCCACCGAAAGCCCCGAGTGTGACTACTGCCTCCTCAGCCTATGTGAAGGGTCAGCTAAGGCAGCTGCAAATACTGTTAACACTCATTCTGCTGACATCCATTCACATCTATGATGACAGAGGGTCCCCACCAGCCAGGTGAGCCCCTAACTCGGTTTTACTAAGTCACATGGGTTAGATCTAAGAGGGGCACAGCAAAAGATGAGTTTGCTTTTTGCCAAAATTCTGGTCTTCACTTTCAGAATGAGTTCTGGGGCTGCCACACTGGCCAGAGACTAGTTTGCCAGGGAGTGTGAAGCAGCCTCAGTGTGGAAAGGGCCTACTGTGCGTGCTCCCCACTGTGCTTGTGCCTGTGTCTCCTCAACTCTGGGCAGCGGGCTGCGGGGTGTCAGAGGGCAGGAGATCTGGTTCTGCACAACTCAACCACAATCCACCCGCACGGACCTTGGCAACAAAGTCTCCGGTGCACACCTTCCATGCTACCAGGTCTACTGTGTGACAGAGGCAGGTGCTCTGGGACTGCAGGGGCCCTCAGACCAGGCCCTGAAGGGCACACTGCACGCCGGTGAACACAGCTTCTGCACTACCCAACTGTCTTAAGGTTCAGTTTTCAAGGGAAGCCTTGACTTTCAGACTCCACACACACAGCCTGATGGACGTTCTGAGACTGAGCTTAGTTACAAATCAGCTGCTCAGAGCATGGCAAGGTCAGTCGAGCACTTGAGGTGCGGATGCGGTCAGTACCATGAGACACACAGGGTGAGGTTCTGGGGAACCACAAGCACCTGAGGGCCTCCGCAGCCAGGATGAGAAGGTAACTGATACACCAGAACGACCAGATTCCTTTTGGAAATGTAAGGAGCCAGCTTTTGGAAAAATCGGTCACAAATGGTCTACAGCAGTGACATCACTTCGCCACTGACTGTGAGAATGACCTACTGCAGCATGGGGAGCACACCGCTGACACGGACGGGATGACAACGGCAGGTGTTCCAGAAGCCAGGTAAGTGTGAGTTGGAGAGTGAAGGACTCGTCCCTTTTAAGATGGACACTCTGACCCACTTCTGGGAAATGTGGAGGGGAGGGCTGGAGACTAAAATTCAAATACTTATAAGGATATTCATCACAGCATTATTTCGTGAAAACTGGAGACCATCTGAACGCTGTAAGAGGGAACTGGTCAGACAAGTCATGAGAAACTGTGATCTGCTAGACTCTGTAATAATTCAAAGTTCTTTCGTTTGGGGGCGGGGAGAGGGGAAACACCACATCTGGCAGTGCTCAGAGCTGACTTCTGGCGGTGCCCAGGGATCAGGTGTGGTGCTGAGGAGGGGACCCGGGTCAGCTGAGTGCCCTCCCCTGTATCCTCTCCAGGCCCGAAAACAATGGCGTTGTCACTGCTCACAGCCGGGCAATGCAGAAGGGCAAGCGGGAGGCAGATACGCACAAACAGGCTGTGCTCCCGGCTTCAATCAAAGGCCCGCAGGCGGGCAGGGGCCCCAAAGACTCCTATGTTCTCATGGCTTGTCTGGGTGTTGAGTCCACAGCTGACTTTCAGAAAACAAAGACCAAAGTCCCCACCGGAATCCCTCTCCTCTGCGGACCCCTCCCTCAGGGATCTGAGATATGGACCCCCGTGCCGTCCTGCGCCCGAGGGGACCACGCTCCTCCCGGCCGCCTTCCCCTCCCTTTCCACTCGAATGCGAATGCGGCCCCGTGTTCCGCCTCTGAGGCAGGAGAGACTACGGGCTGGGCTCTGCTAAAACGCCAACTGATGGAGACGCCACCGGGTGGCCGAGGCACGGTCCCCAGAGGGCTGCAGCCACGTGACTCATCCCTGTCTCAGGTGTGGGAGGCTGTGTGTGTGGGGGGGGTGGCGGCACCCAGGAGGTAGCGGCACTGTCGGTAGAGGCCGACAGCCCAGCTGAGTGCCCCCAGTGACCATCCCCGTGCCGGCTCTTGCTATCTCCACATGCCTGACACCCGAGGGGCAGTCAACGTCCTGAGTGCAGGCCTGGACAGGGGTTCCTGATAATGAAATGGCCGGTGCACCTCACTGCTGAGAAGGCAGGAGCGCGTGGGAACACAGCCCGACCCCAGAGGTGGGACCCACCCAGGGGACGCCCCACGCCGCACCCAGCTGCAGACCGACTCCAACTGGCCCGAGCTCTTCGCCCAGTCAGTCGGGAGCATCTTTCCTGAGCCTTTGGTTGGTGGGTACCTGTGTCATGTCTAAGGAGCTGGCAGCCCATCATGCCCTGGGCAGGTCACCATCAGTGCTCAGGGCCCCGGAGGGTCCAGCAGCCGGAAGCTGGGCTATCTCCATGCGGATGTGACGCAGGAGTGAGGCTGTGACACGGCGGTGCCCCCCGCACTGGCCACCCGGGCTGGGCCCCGTGGAACAGCTCCTCCTTGCAGCTGCCACAGCGGCTGGGCGGTGGCGGTGACGGCCCCTTCTCTCCACTGCCCACTGGCCACGGCGGGTGCCGAGCCGGGTGTGAGGACAGGCAGCGGGTCCAGGCCGTGGACGCAGGGTGGGGAGAGCACAGGGCAGGGGTTCGGGGACAGCTGTGTTCCCGCCCGGCACGGAGCAAGCAAGCAAGCAGCCCTGAAGGCTGTGGTCCGGGTGTGTCCTTGGGGAGAGGGCGTGTCCTTTCCTTTTCTTTCTTTTTTTTTTTTTAAAAAGGCTGCACAGTCTGCCATCGGCGAGGCAGGGGCTTTGGGGCACGGGGGCGCTGTCATTGCACGGCAGCATCTGGGGGGCTCTGGTACTGCTGCCGCCACACTTCCTGGATCTTCCGGCACCATTTGTGGGCGTTGCCGCTTGGGTCCATCAGGTAGTATGTCCTGTTGGGCTGTGGGAGCAGAGGGCGCTTGTGCTCAGGACCCTACCAGGGGGATGGAGAGGACAGAGAGAGGACAGAGGGAGGAGAGAGAAAAGAGAGGGAGGGAGAGGGGAGAGAGCAGAGGTGGGAGAGGAGAGGAGAGGAGAGCGCGTACTAGGGCATCCTGGGACGGCCCCCACAGGCCCCACTCACCGTGTGCACGAAGAAGGTCTTGAAGTTCTTGGGCTCGGGCCGGAGCTCCTGCGACCACGGGATCTCCCCCTTGAGGACCTTGCTGACTGGGTCCACATAGTACAGGTGCGGCCCTTCCGTGAGCAGCAGCTGCCGCCGGCGTGCAAACAAGCCCTGACGCCAAGGGAAGGTCCCCCCGTCAGGCCGGACACTGGGGACTCACCCGTAGTAAAGGTTGGCGGTGCCCGAGAGCCAGTCCTGGCTGCCCACCGCACGGGGAGGGCACCAGTCTCCCAGGGCCCAACTGTGGGCTCTGCATGGGCGGGGCCAGTCTGCAGGTGGACAGTACCCAGGAGGCCAAAGCACTGGCAGGAGCAGCAAGAAGCCAACATACCTTTCGCTTGTCTACTGGACCCATCTTTAGTATTAAATTATTTTCTACAAATTGGTGCCTATAAAGGAAAACAAGACCAAGTCAGAGACACTTCCTGAGCATGTCCTTCCAGGGGCAGGAGAAATGCAACGTCCTGCATCTGAAAGTGGCCGCTGCCGCCCTCCCTGCCAGAAGGAAGCGCAGCACGGCTCTTGGCCCAAAGTGGACGCCACAATTGGCGCAGGAGGCACTGACTGAATCAGAAAGGAGGCCAGAAAGGAGCTAGAGGAGGTGGAAGGAAGTGTCCCCGCCTCTTTGCCCGGGACAGGCCCCACTGAGGCCCGGCACTGCTGGGCTGGCCCCTGGCGCTTGTTCCCTACACCCTGGAAGGTTCCCGCTAAGCCCCAAGCCAGACGCAGAACCGCGGAACAGCCCGTGTCCACACGCAGCCTGCTGGACAGTCCTGCCAACAGCCCCTGGGTGAGTGCCTTGGCGGGGAGGGAGGAAGGAGGAGCAGAGAGGGGGAGGAGAGCAGGAAGCTCAACGCAGAGCATGCCCTTGAGGGCACAGGCTGAAAAGGCCATTTCGTTCTTTGTTTTCGGTCTCTGGGCCACAACCGGCTCAGGGATCACTCCTGGGGATGCTGGGGGACCACGTGGGATGAGTGGACTGTGCTCTGTCCAGCCCTGAGATGCTGTTCCTAAGCAGTGGTCCCCCATCACGTCAGCGCACAGATGGTATGGAGGCCCCACCACCCACTCGTGCCCGCGCCCTCACCAGGGGTTCCCGGCCGCCTGCTTCTCCAGCAGCAGCTGCTTCTCCTCCGGGGAAAACTGCAAGTCCAGTTCGAAGGCGTTGGCGTCCAGGCCGTGGATGTACTGCTCAATGCTGCTGCCGGCCCTCGGCGCGGGGCCCGTATCCAGCCCCGACAGCGAGTGGGAGGATGCGGACGAGGAGACCTGCATGCAGCCGAACTGGCTCAGGAGGTTGTCGTACTGCAAGAGAAGGGCAGTGAGCGGCCACCGGGCTGGAACCCGGAGGCAGCAGCAGGGCCAGCGGACGTGAATGAGAGGACAGGAGTGCCTGGCTGCAGCCCCTCTGCTGGCGCCTTCCCGGGGGTCTGTGTGGATCTGGGCAGCTGGGCAGCCGGGTTCCGGCCGGCACTGGCAGAGGCCGCTGCTTTCTGGGGATGCAAAGACCCTGGGACCGTGTGTCCGCCCACAGGACCAGGTGGCTGAAGACCCATTGTCCCTAGGCAAGTCTTGGCGTGTCGTCCCCCCCCCCCCCGAGCAGCAGCACCCCCCTTCCCGTCCCCCGCATCCCTTGGCGCGGGGAGTCAGCCCGCACGCACGCACGCACGTTTCCGTAGCAGTCTTCGTCATCCTCAGACATGGCCGGCAGGTAGGCAGTGAGCTTAGGTGGCGTCTGGTGCTGGAGGTTCTCCCAGGTGATGGACTCGAAGAACGGGTGGGCTTTCAGAGGGCCGTACCCCCCCAGCTCCTCACAGCCCAGTCGCTTGGTGGCGTCCAGAACCTGCAAGGGAAAGGTGAGTCCGTGCTGGGGTGAAAGCCACTGAGGCCCGTGCCCCAGTGGGATGGACGCGGCACTGGCCCCCAGCCAAGCCCTGCCCGGGGGGCCGCCACAGGTCCTGTCTGTCCAGGGGAGAAAGCAGAAGCTGGATGCCATCTCCAGGTTTCACTCAGCACCACCACAGACAGATGCAGGCCCAGCAGGCCTGGCTGCTCGCCACGACAAAGCCCACCAGACTCACCAGAAGTTTCTCTACAAGGTCTCTCGCCTTAGGGAAGAACTTTTCAGGAAAGTCGTACTCTAACTTTATGATCTTCTGAAATATAAGATACTCATTTCTGTGAAAGGCAAGAAGCCAGCTGTTACCCTGGGGAAAGAACGCCACAGCCCAACAAGCCTGTCTTTCTGGGACGGGGCTCCCTCCTCCCAGCCCCAAGCCTGCCCCCAGGTGCCTCTTACCCAGCCCGGAACGGCGGCAGCCCAGCCACCAGCTGGTAGATTATGCAGCCGAGAGCCCAGAGGTCAGAACTTGAAGGGGAAAACAGAAAAGTGGCGTTGGTAACAGTCCCAGGCACGCAGGGCAGTGGCTCCAGCAGCACTCACGCCCAGCGCCCCTCCCCCGCTGCAGCTCAGGGCAGCTGAGGGCTAGCCCCACCGCACCCGGGGGGATGCGGGCGCTCTCACAGCGCAGTGCTCATACTGGCATTCGCGGAGTATGGAGCGCGCATGCAGAGCGGTTCTCTCCTGCCCGGACTGGCTGAGAGCCCCGCCCGCTTGGTAAACACGGTAATTATACATTTCCTAAGGAAAACACGGCAGGTCTCAGCTCCCCTGCCCAGAGGTGGCTGGCAGAGGCTCGCGGGCTTGCTCGGGGCTGCAGACTGAAAGGGTTCTGCAGCCTGACTTCCCATATGCTGGTCTCGTCCTGATGGCCCAGTGTTCCCTGCGCCCCCGCTGGGCACTCTGGGGCAGAGGGCAACTTGGGTGCCGGGCGACACTACATGACAGCATGTCCAGTTCAGGGGCTGGATCCACAGGACACGCGGAGGGTGTTTGCTTTGCAGGCGGCTGACCCAGTATCATGTCCTGGTACCACACACGGTCCCCTGAACCCCGCCAGAAGTGATCCCTGACCAGAGCCAGGAATAAACCTGGAGCGTGGCCCCCAAACCAACCTCCTGACCCATCCCCAGCTCTGGCGTTGAGTCACAACACAGCTGTAGAAGGCAGCAGGAGTCTACAGGAATCCAAGCAGCTCCCAGACTCCTTCCTGCATCCAGAGTCCCGTTACAAGGAACGGGCACAGGAAAGCAGATTTTTGCCCCGTGCAGGAGGCCAAAAAGGGCAGGTTCTCCAGCACAGGCCTCGGGCTAACACTTTCCCTCTCTTTATCAGCAGCAGACACCATACACTTAGATGCTTCTCACTGTAATTAGAAATAAAGCAAAACAGAATGGGAGACGAACACCCAAGAATAGTTGAGATAAGTACCAGGAGGTCTGCTCCACGGCTTGGAAGCCGGCAGCACATGCTGGGGGAAAAGGCAGCTCAGACAGAGAAGGGAACACCAAGTAAAGGGTGTTTGGAGGACTTGCTCAGGGTGCGAGATGCGTGCTGAATGCAGACTACAGACCGAACGCGATGGCCACTCAATACCTCTATTGCAAACCACAACACCCTAAAGGAGAGAGAGAGCGAAAGGGAATGCCCTGCCACAGAGGCAGGGTGGGGGGAGAGGGGAGGGCCAGTGGGTACTGGGTTCATTGGTGGTGGAAGATGGGCACTGGTGGAGGGATGGGGACTCGATCACTGTATAACTGACACTCAAGCATGAAAGTTTGTAAGTCTACAGCTGTACCTCATGGTGTTTCACTAAAAAAAAAAAAAAAAGAAAAAGAAAGAGGGTTGGAAAGCAGCGCAGAGAGGATATTTGTCTTGCATCCTAGTACTACCTACGGGCCCCCGAGCAGCTCCTCAGAAGCGGAAGCCCAAGCACCTTTCCTGGGCACTGTCCCTGGGCACAGCTAGGAGGGCGGCAGTGCCTGGGCCTGCTGTCAGGGTGCTCTGGGCAGTGGTGCTGGGGGCACCAGGGCCACCCATGGGCAGTGCCTGAGGGACCTGGTCTGTGCAGACAAAGGCAGGCCCTGGCAGACACATGTGCCTCCTGACCTTGAGTACAGATAAACCAGGAGTTCTAGAAAAGGTTTTTTTTTTGGGGGGGGGGGGTGGCCGGGAGGGGCATCACACCTGGTGGTGCTCAGGACTTATTCCTGACTCTGGGGGCAGACACTGCAGCCCTCACAGGGCCAGGCCAAGGTGGCTGGGCCCCCAGTTGTGCTGAATGAGCAAAAATCATGTCTACAGCCTATGTCAAGGGAATGACATGGTGAAGTATAACAAACTCCCTGCTGCAAATCATGGAGGGTCAGAGATGCCCTCAGACGCAGCTGGCAAAGTCTGCAAGGAGCAAAGTTTGGAATGCCCAGTCAGTGTGTCTACAGCTTGACAGAAATTAGTAAACACAGAGAAAAAATGACCCAAAAAAAAATGGGGCTGGAGAGTCTAGCGGGTAGGGCACCATCAATCTCTGGCACCCCACAGGGCCCCAAGCACTGCCAGGAGTACTTCGCTTTCTGAGTGCAGAGCCAGGATGGTATGGACCAAACCACCCCCTACACCCTAAAATACAAGACTGAGTGGGGATGGAAGGTAAGAGGGGTTCTGGGGACATTTGCAGAGGGAAGTGAGCACTCTGGTGATGGGCATGGTGTTGGAATAATGTCCGTGAAAAGCGCGATTAACAGCAGTGACAACCTGCGCCCTGCCAGGACTCTGGTAAGAATGGTTGGACCAAAGCCAGTCCCAGAGCCCCCGACTCATACGCATCCAGCTTCTGTCTTCCTCGGGGACCAACATTACACGACTCAGAGCCAAGCGCGGGGTGACGGCAGCTCCTTGCCCCATGCTGGGAGCCCTTCAGGCGCGTTCTGGAACTTCCTGCTTCCTGTCTCTTCCTGTGTCAGGCCATGGGCACACAGGGCACCTGCAGCCAGTACCAGGGTCTCCTGACCCCAGACTGGAGCAGCAGTGCTCCCTCCTGCCCATGTGGGGTTCCCCAACTCCCCGGCAGCCGCACTTGGCCTGCGTGAAGATGGAGGCCAGGTGGGGGGTCATCTTCTGTGAAGCCAGAATCCCCCCAGTGCTTTCCAAGGCTGCTGGACTTGGAGACCAGTGGTCCTGCCTCAGGCTAGCCAGTACAGGCTCATCAGCTCTAAGCTGTGGCCATGGCCTACACATCCACGCGGTCCCAGGGCAGAACTCCACAAGAAGGCTTCACCCACGGAACTAACTTTCAACCTGATACTGACCCTCAAGCTCAGCCCCAGACTGCACCACCTGTGCCGCCGTCCGCCCCACCAGACTCCAGCCCCGGGCCACCCTCTGCAACCGTGCTGCTGCCTTCACAGTCTGCTTGAGAGAGGCCAGGCTTGAGCCCCGTCCACCATGAAGCGGCCTGACAGCAGGGGCCAGAGGGGCAGGCACTCAGGAAGTGGGCAGGGCAGGGCAGGGCAGGGCAGGGCTTCACCTTTTACAGGCCGCCTTCTCGGTGAGCAGCTCCGGAGAGACGTACTGTGCTGTCCCCACGAAGGAGTTGGCTCTGGCTGACGAGAGGAACAGAGGAGAAGGCCACTGTGGCACGGCCACACTCCACGCCATCTCCAGGGTGGGGGTCCCGGCGATCGCTACACATGTTTTCTCAAACAGCCCCCACTCTGCCGCTCTCCGCGGGTCCCGTGTTGCCTGCCTGCCCGACTCGGGACTGCAGCCACCTCAGTACCACAAGGAAGGCGAAAGGGACCCAGAGCCAGCACCCCCAGACGGCCAGGAGAGAGACCTGGGGCCTGCTGCCTGCCACTGTTCTCTGGCTTCCTCCAGGAGGTCAGCCTGGGCCTGCAGGATCCCGGGCACGGGGGTTGGCTGTGCCCTCTCCCACCCTACTGCCCCAGGGAGAGACGCGTGGTCACACCTGCGCCCTGCCAGGACTCTGGGGTACAGCTGAGAACAGAGGTGACTCGTGAGAGCGCACCAGCGCTGGGTCGAGACTCAGAGCAGCAAGTGCAGACGCCACATGAGAAGTGGCCGCGGAGGACAGCAAGAGAAACAGGGCGCTGGCAGGGCAGACACGGAGCTATGGGGACCCTGAACGGCACCCTGGCTGTGGGCACTCCGGCCCCAGACCCGCATGCAGACATGAGGCCCAGGGTTGGGAGTCTGCAGCTTGGAGCAGACGCTCTTCAGAGCCAGAGAACAGACTGTGTGGGACCCCCCCACCCCCAATCACATGGGGCTATGGCAGCCACCGCCAAAGGTGCTCACCCCTTTGGTCAAGGAGCAGATGGGGTAGCTGTCCAGGAGACGCACACCCACAGCCCAGAGTCCACCCATGGTTGGGTCCTAGGGTTCAAGGTGCCACCATGGTATTTTCTGACAGATGACCAAGTGTTCATCTCAAAATATGCAGAAAAAATGAGCTAAGCCACAAACTTAGCCACATGAGGTGCCAAGGACTGAGCCCCAGGTCGGCTGCGGGCAAGGCCAGTGTCCTACGATGCCGCAATGCTGCTGCTAATCCCCGAGGCTCCTTCTCAAGTCCCAGAGCAAGCCCAGCTTCGCCCCAGCTGCCGCTCTGCATCCCCAGGGGGCCTCCCCTCACCACTCTTCAGGAGGGAGCTGAAGAGGACGTGCAGCCTTGAACCACACACGCCCTGACTCCGCCACCAGCGCAACCCAGGCGGGTGGCCATCCTGAGTTTCGGGAACTCCGCAGATGGCAGAGCCCGGGTCAGAGGACACCGCTCCCCATCACTAGCCGTGGTGCGCCGGCAACGCCCTCCCCGGCAGCTCACGTACCTTGCTTGCTCTCGGGAGACAGCACCTTGGCTGTTCCAAAATCCGTGATCTGAATGTGCATGTCTTCATTTAACAAGATGTTCTCTGGTTTCAGGTCCCTGTGGAAGCAGAGTCTTAGCATTTGCGATGAAGTGTTTTTTAGAAGAGTACCGTGAATACATACTTGAAGTTCCGCTGAACACAAACAAGCTGATCAAAGCAAAGGGCAAGCCCACCATGACCAGAATCGAGTGCCAGCGCAGGAGACATGAGCCCACTGACCCTCGTTAACCACATCTTGTCACCGCCACAGTCCTACTCATTTTAACCCACAGACAGCTTATGGGAGGTTTTAATTCGACAGTATCAGAAAGTCATGGAAATCGAGAATAGGAATAAAAGCTACAGAAAATGGTGACTGACAGAACAGAAGCAGCCGATGGGGCTGAGGCCTGTGATCGGGCCTGTGGGGGCAGCTGGTGCCCAGGTGGTACCTGTGAATGACGCCCTTGCCATGCAGGTACTCGAGAGCAGACACCAGCTCGGCGGTGTAAAAGCGGGTGCATGTCTCATCAAATGAGCCGATTTTGCGAATGTATTTAAGGAGTTCTCCATTTTTGGCATAACTAAGGCCAAAATCTACGTGTCGCATAGTTAAGGAAGTGCACGAAGGTAGAGTTCTAGCCTCAACAGCTCAGGAAGAACTCTCCCGTAAGAACTGGAGACTGTGGCCCCTCTGGGAACCAGCCCGGCCGTCACCCCAACACCCCTCTGCAGGCTTCAGTACAGCGCTGGGCTCCCGCAGCACCAAGCACAGGCACAGGGCTGAGTCTGCGGGGGTGACGCAACGGGTGCCCCGCCTCCCCCAACAAACTCTGAAACCGCAGCCCCCTACGGCCAGGCCCCGCCGAGGGAAAGCCACTCTGTGGAGGCGTGGCCAGGGGCCCACTGGAACCGCTACCTGGGGACCACAGAACCTACCCCAGACATCCCTGCCCTGGGACAAGGACTTTGGTTCTTTGTCCCTTCCCAAGTCGGGCCAGGCTGCAACCACACACAAAAGCGGCCCCCGCAGTCACCCGGGAATCCCCCAAGCTCGGCACCTAGAGATGCAGGGCTTCTGGGAGCCAAGATGCTCCGGCACCCTTGAGGATGGGGACCACAGAGGCCCGATCTGACGCCAGCCTCCTCTCCAGGAAGGTGAAGGGTCTCAGCCAGGCACCACGACCAGCTGCAGACTTTGGTGGGGCCCGTGCCCCCCCCACTCCTCTCCCGCCTCTGGGCTGGAGCCTATGCAGTGAGGAGCTGGGCCCCAGCCCCCCCCCCCTTCCGGCTGTTCCCCTTATCAGCCGGTTCCCAGTTCCTGTTTCCTGCCAGACACCGATGCTGGTGGGCTGCGCGTGGCCACCAGGTCAGCACCACAGATGCTGGGGACCGTGGTGCCAGGCTCCAGACTCTCCCGGTGACACACCGTGCCACCCCCCCAATGCCCCCGGGGCAGGGAGGAAGCAGCTGAGTGACCCCGAGCAGGGATTTCCAGGGAGCCCACGTGCGATCCAGGCCGCAGGAACAGTACCGCGAACTAGGTTGGCCCCAGCTGGCACTTTGGTGGGGAAGCCAGTCCCAAGAGGGTGAAGAGCAAACTGGGGTCCCAGGCTGGCAGAGCAACCCAAAACCCTGTGGAACTCGGCTCTCCCCTTCAGGAGGGGCTGAGTCGAGGCTATTCCTGTCTCTTCCCGCCTGCTCGCCCAGGCTCTGCCCCACCTGGCGCTACTGAGGAGGGGATGTACCAGAGGCCCCACTCTCACCGCCCAAGGGTCACCGAGGGGTCCCAGGGGAGGCAGCTTGGACCCCAGCCCTCCGGCGAGCACCCATGCGCGTGCAGTCTCCATGAGCCCAGGAAGTGTCCTAATGGTGGAGAGCGAGAGACACCGGGGACAAAGGCTTCAAGCCCCTCCACCCCGTGACTCCACAGCTCTGCGGAGAGAACAGGCAAACATGAGCCCCCCCAACCTGTCAGCTTCCTGCTTCAGTGGGCCAGGGCCAGCTTAGCCCCGGGGGACAGGGAGGTGGGAGGCTTCAGCACCCCCTGCCGCTGCACCGAGGCCTGGGGCCAGAGAAGGCCCACAGGAAGGACAGAGTCGGGTGAGCCGAGTGTGTGCAGCAAAGAAGGCCAGAGCCGTCGGAGACAGGGGTCGAGGGCCGGGGAGGGAGGAGCCACGAGCCCCCGGAGGCATCTCCACTGGAGAAACAGCCAGATAAGCGGCCGGCAGAGCCCTAAGCAGACGCCGCGGAGTGGAGAGGGGACACCTGGAACTGATGTGGAGCCCAGGCCACAGGGCAGGCAGCAGCCCAAGGTCACCCTTACTCCCCTGTCCTGCTCTGTCCAGCAGCCATCACCAACAGACACGGGCTCCTGGCCCTCAGCTACCTGCGCTCGGCAGGCCCAGCGCCACTCCGAGAAGCTGGCCTTCGCTTTCAAGGGAGGGACGGCAGGAGGGAAGCCCGGGCCAGGCCCCGGCTGGCCAAAGGATACACAGCTTCTCGTCATCCTGAAACGTGAAGTAGAGCTTCACAAAGAAGGGGTGATCCAGGCGCGACATCACGTCTCTCTCTCGGGTCACGTATGGGACCTTGTTCTCCTTGATAATGTGCCGCTTCTCTAGGATTTTAACTTGAGAGACAAGTGAGTCACCCCAGTTGGAATCAAACGCACTAGAGCCGCAATGAACCAAAGCCGACTGGGACAAATCCAGGTTTGTCACAGACACACCCACCGCTCCCTACCCACCGGCACAGAAGCCACCGGCACCCGGCAGCTCCCCAGCTCGCAGCAAATGGCAATACTTACTAGCATATTCTCTGGAGGTTGCCAGTTCTCGGGCCAGGACGACCTGGGTGGGGAAGACAAAGTGGAAGAGAAGCCAGACGACAGCCGGGCCAACGGTCCCACTGCTGCCCACCAGACACCTTGTCTCTGGGAGTCAGGGCCCCAGGGTGCTGAATGTTGGGGGCCAGACAGGCCTGTTCTCAGGGCTAGCAGCAAACACTGTGTCCCCAGCTGTTTCCAGAAGGTTCCTGACCAAGGTGCAGGGAGAATCCTGCATCCAAAGAGCCGTCTCACCACAGGGGGGTGCGACAGCTCAGAGCCCCTCTCTGCTGGGTTCTGCTAGAAATTGCCTTCGGGGGTCGCAGTGACAGCTCAAGGGGTAGAGGGCTGGCACGGCAGACCTGGGGTCAACCCCCAGCACACATATGGTCCCGAGCCAGACCTCAGAAAGACTGGCCCGAGTGCCTCAGCAGTTAGTCCTGTTCTGTCTGGGCGTCAGCTCCAACCCACGTGGCGTGTGCAATCCCGGGGCCGGAGAGCGCGAGCCCTGGACCACCACAGGGACCAGATAAGGCCGAGCACATGGGGTGGGACTCAAACTCCCTCCCCCTCCCCAAAACCTAGGATATTCTATTTTTAAATAATAGCACAGAAATAGTGAAACAGTTCAGAGTTTGCTCCAAACCCTGAAGAGATACTGACACTTCCAGTCTAAGGCACAGATAGCTTCTGGACAAGTGGGCAGCCGGGATACAGGGCCAAGTGGCTGGCGACTGGGCAGCGCCCCGAGTCTGGCTCTGTGTCTCCAAGCATAGGAAGGCTCGCTCTCGGGCCCGCTCTCCTCTGAACACGCCTCCCTCTCCCCTCACGTCTTCCTCAGTACGTTTTGTTCAGTGGAAGACACAGAGCCCCTCTGAAAGCTTCCGACGACCAACCAGCCACTTGCGGGACAGCCTGAGAGGTACTCACAGTGGAGAAAGAGCCTTCTCCCAAAATCTTCCCAAACTTGAAGTCCTCAGGCCGTTTCTTCCGCGGCGGTGGCTGTGCGGCGTGTTGCAGCGAGCTGGCACTTGGCCGGGACTCGGTGGCAGTGCCGTCCATGGCGGGACCCTGCCTGCTACCGCCACTGGGAACGCCAGGGGCCGTGCTGGAGTCCGCGTGGGTCCTCACCATTGATGGGGATGGGCAGGAACATAGCACCACGCTGGGCTGGATGGGAACGGCGTCATACTGGCGGGTACAGAGGAAGAGGGCATGAGAGCAGGGTAGTGATGTGTCCTCCTCCGCAGGTTCCTGGGGCCATCAGAGTGGCCATGGGCCCGAGTGTGAATCCCCGGCTCCAATCAGGACAGACAGCGGTGACTAGTGTTCGCCTGAGTGGACATTGACAGTCGTGTCGTGTGGGTCACCATCTGCTCCCGCCTCTAGCAACAGCATGAGTTCCCGACACACGTCCCTCACACTGGGTCCTCCCATCACTACCCAAGTTCTGCATCTCTATGGCCAACCCCTATGCCAAGGACTCCAGGACCAGGCTCCCTCCTGAAGCCGTCACCCCTCACCCCTCCACACCGGAGGAGTCTGCAGTCGGGAGGAGACTCAGCTGGGCGCAGACCAACAAGCTGGCTGGAGAAGATTTCCCCAGAGCACACACGCAGTGGCCATGGGAAGGAGCCCTGCTTGCCATGGAGACAGAAGCAGGCCTGGGGCTGGAGCAATAGCACAGCGGGTAGGACGTTTGCCTTGCACGTGGCCAAGCCGGGTTCGATTCCCAGCATTCCATATGGTCCTCTGAGCACCGCCAGGGGTGATTCCTGAGTGCAGAACCAGGGGTAACTCTGCATCACCAGGGGGGATTCCTAAGTGCAGAGCCAGGAATAACCCGAGCACCGCCGGGTGTGGCCCCCAAACAAATGAAAAGCACAAATCAGACTTCTTGGGGCAAGAGCCAGGGTCCAGCCGACAGCTGCTTGCCCTGCACTGTGTGACTGATCCAGGTTCAGTCCCTGGCATACACATGGCTCTCCCCCACCCCCCGAAACCTGCCAGGAGTGGTCCTTGAGCAGGAGTATGCCCTGAGCTCCCCGTCACAAAGTAAGATACATCCAGTGGTCCCCAACCCTCTTCGTCCCACTGCGCCCTCTCGCTTGAGGCTCGACACCAAGGGCGGGAAAGCACAGGGTGCAGAGGCCGAGACGCCAGAACCACACACCCCTATGACGTGTGCGCACAAACGGTCACAGCATTGTCACACTGGCTGAAGGACATGAAGCGGCAGGCCAAGTGACACCGGGCTAATGGCACACTGTTCAGCACGAAAAGGAATCGCCTCCCAGAGAGGTGGTGCCAAGGGGAGAACCCCAAGTCTAACCTGGCACCACCGGGCCAAGCAGCACCACAGCGCCAGGCCATCAGGTCCCGGGCCCACGCGCACTCAGGGGACCCGTGAACAAGGGGATCAGAAGCACCGACACGCCGTGAGTGCCACAGAGGCAAGCTTAGACAGCAGAGCTGCCTGGCCTCTGAGAAACAGGACTGCAGCCGTCCCGCATTGCAAGCACACTCGAGCCAGTGAGTTTCAGATTTCAGATTGGGTGCAGGCACTCGCTTTGTACGTGCTTGACCCAGGTTCAATCCCTGGCACCCCATATGGTCTCCCGAACCCTCCAGGAGTGATCCCTGAGCACAGAGCCAGGTGTAAGCCCTGAACACTGCTGGGTGTGACTTGCAAAAGAAACGTATTCGAATCAAGACTTTTACCAACAAATGGACAAAGGGCAGGCACCCAAAACACAGAGATATGCATGCCCCAGAGATATACAGATGCCCACTAATGCCAAGACCATCCAGAGCATGGACACTCACACTGCTGACCCGGTTGCTCTCAAAAAAAAAAAAAAAAATTTTTTTTTTGCTTTTTTTTGCTTTCTGGGTCACACCCGGCTATGCACAGGGGTTACTCCTGGCTCATGAACTCAGGAATTACTCCTGGCAGTGCTCAGGGAACCATATGGGATGCTGGAACTCGAACCTGGGTTGGCCGTAAGGCAAAAACCCTACGCACTGTGCTATTGCTCCAGCCCCTCTCAAAATGTTTTTGGAAAGTAACCTGGTCATTTGTCAAGAAAGTGATGGCTGAACACCTGCCAAGGAGACACAGGAAGGTGACAGCAAAGACAAATGTGTAGAAATACTGCCCACAGCTGAGGTGGATGCTGCAAAAAGGATCAGAGGCCCAGCTGAAGCGGGAAGGAGGTTCTTTCCTGGCTCTGAAGCCAAAGTCTGCTTGCCGCAGAAAACTGCTGCCAGAGCCCAGGAGGTGAATTCAGAGCGGTCAGGTCTGCCCCAACTGTGCTCATTCCCCGTCCCTGAGGCAGGGGAATGCCTGGCACCAGTCTGGGAAGTGCAAAGTCTGACCCTGTGCCCCAGCACACAGGGAAGACACATGGCTGTCAGAGGCCCTACAGACACTCCATGGAGAGCAGCATCACCGCGCCGTGTAGTCAGTGGAGACGGGGAAGTCATGAGTCCGAAGAGGTACAAGAAGGCTGCCAGGCAGTGGACACCACGAGAACCCGGAGGGAAATGCCAGACGTGCTGTGAGCAACCTGGGAGAGGCGGTCTCTCCACTCAAACAGGGAAGGCAGGAGGGCCAGGGCGCCCAGGCGAGTCAGAAGCTCCAAGCTTCTGCAGGACCCTGCACTGCGCTTCTCGGCATCAAGCCCCAAGACACAAAATCCTCCTGTGGAAGGACGTTTGCGCGCCAGCAGCCCGGGGTCCACCAGCAGATGGGCTCCCGGGGTGCAGCCAGACACAACGAAGACAACGCAGCTGCAGGAATGCTTCATGCAATCTGCCACAGCGCGGATGGAACTGGGAGGGTCACGTTTAGGGAAGGAAGCCAAAGGAAGGTCAGACACTGAATGAGCTTGCGACCTGCGGGACAGAGAACCAGGGCAAGGGAACGCAGGCACCAAAGTGGGGCAGACCCTAATGAAAAGGTCTGTGGGGGGACGAGGGGGAAGAAGAGGCAAGGAGCAGGGTCCGGGGACCGGCCTGGCGGTGGGCAGGTCAAGTGTGTGCATCCGTCGCCACCCACACCACGAGCTATGCGACCCTCTTCTCTGGAGCCAAAATGCGGTGTCCAGGAGCAAGAGGAAAAGTACAGAGGCAGGCGCTTGCTCGGCATGCAGCAGCCTGGTTTTGCTCCCCAGGCAACGCCAAGGGTCCCCCCGAGCAGAGCCGGGGCAGGCGCTGGGCACTTCCCTCCTGCGCTCTCTCCAGCCCTGCCTTAGTCAGTTTTGGAAGGTGGTAAATCCACCTGATACCTTTTTCTGGCTAATTCTTGGCAGGATCACACCTGGCAGTCATGTAGAGGTGCCCTGTCCTACAGCCCGGCCCCACAGCACTACGAACAGCATCACAGGGGTGGGCCAGCTGAATGCTGTGAGGTGCCACCCGAGAAGTGTGTGGCGACCACGGTTGAGGGCGGCGCCCTGAAGGTCCAGGCCCAGCTCAGCTGCAGGGGGACCACTCGGCCATCTCTGTGCCACCTTTCGCTTCTGCAGTGTTTCCAGCTCAGGAGACAGGCAGAAATCCAGGGCATTCCGAGATCCACAGCGTTGTGGGGAGAATTCTGGCCCCGGGTCAGGGTGGTCCCACAAGCTGTCCGCAGACACCACGGCCCTGAGGAAGCCAGCAGGGCCTCCTCAGCATCACAGTGCCTGACCCCTCATGGCAGAATAGCTAGAACACAGGTGAGCCGGGCCCTTGGTACGCCCACACTCCTGTGGGGCATGGTAACCCCAAAACACCACGCTGTGAGGCAGGCTCTGAATGTCCTCCCCCACAGGACGGAACCCCTGGGGGCCAGGCATAGACCTTAGGGACCCTAAAACTACCTTTCTAGGCTCACTCCTGGCTCCTCTGGAGCACTGTGGCCATGGCGGGGGTGGGGCGGGCAGGGAAACGGAGCTGAGGTCCAACTGCCCGTGAAGGACTGGGCCCCCAAATGCTGCTTCCAGTCGCCAGCGCCAGCCTTGGGGTGTGAAGGCAGCCAGCCCAAGCACCGGAGATCCGGGGCCCGAGGCTGACTCACTCTGTGCCAGCTCAGCCCCGCCAGCTAGACACCCACTTGGTGACCCAAAATCGGGGAACAGGAGTACTTTGGAATGTGCAGACTCTCTGAGTCTGCAGTCCTGAGGCCCCAGGCAGTCACCCATCCCATCTTAAATGCAGCCAGGAGTGCTATTCTTGAGGGGCCCGCGGGAGCCAGAGGTACGTCACCTGCCTTCGTGTGGCGACCCCGAGTCCTGGCCAGCAAGCCTATGGTCCCTTGGGCACCGTCAGTGGCCCGAGCGGGGCCAGCGGCAGCCCAGTGCACAAAACAGCAGCGAGCAGCTGTCACTCCATGGGGCCCAGCAGGAGGACAAGACCCAGCCAAGGCTGCTGCTCCCCACAGCATGGCCAGGGCACCTGCCCTCACCCTGAGTCTCTGGGAAAGGGGGTTCCTCACGCCCCCACCCCACCAAGGTCTGGTCCTGGTCCTGCTCCTGTCCGCATGAGGACGCGGCCTGGAGGGTCTCTGGCAGGGGCCAGCACAACCTGGATGACCCTGAGGTGTTCCTGAAGGCCTTGGGGAGAGCTCCTGCCTTGCTTGTTCAACTCCAGGGCCACAGTGAAGAGACCTGAGATTCATCTCCATCTGCTGGCAGCTGAGGGCAGTAACCGGCTCCCAGAGAAGACTCTGGGGCGAGGAGGGAGGGAAGGGCAGGAAGCGAGCACGTGAGACCACCCCCAGCCGCCAGCTCCTTGAAGCACCACTGCTCCCCAAAAGAAGAAAATCCGAAGGGAAAATTAAGGGGAGATCCACCAGACACGGCGGCCCAACCCGCACAGCACACCGCTCGGTCATCTGCAAACCTCGGAGAAGAGGCCGTCAAAACGGCCCGCAAGCAAGCCGGAGAAACACGACAGCGGGAAGATGCTGGCCTTGCATGAGGCCGACCCGGGTTCAATCCCTGGCGCCCCGTAGGGTCTCCGAATTCTGCCCGGATTAATCCCCGAGTCGCTGGATGGGACCCAAACACAAAAAACAAAAACTCCCGTAAGCAACATTGAAAACTGCTGACCCGTAACCACTGTTTGGGAAATGAACCTAGGGACGAAGGGAACGGACGTCCACCTCCTGGCACGACCCTCCCACAACCTCACACCCCGTCTGGATACTG